TCATATCTCCCTTGCCATGCCTGTGTTAAACTTTTCTGACATGGAATACACTTATAATTTCATTGCCCTTCCCTGCTGCTGCTAACATCTGAAGCAGTTTCAGTTGATTTAGACACTTTTTCTCAGTGTGGATCATGTTTTCTGCTTCCTTGCATACCTGGTAATCTTTGGGTGCCAGGCACTGACTTTTACCTTCTTTTTTTAAATTTTTTTTGAGGAAGATTAGCCCTGAGTTAACATCTGCCACCAATCCTCCTTTTTGCTGAGGAAGACTGGCCCTGAGCTAACAGCCATGCCCATCTTCCTCTACTTTATATGTGGGACGCCTGCCACAGCATGGCTTGACAAGTGGTGCGTAGGTCCATGCCCGAGATCCAAACCGGTGAACCCCTGGGCCACCGGAGCAGAATGTCTGAACTTAACCACTGTGCTAATGGTCTGGCCCCTGACTTTTACCTTCTTGTTTGCTGAATATTTTAATATTGCACAGATTCTTCCTCAGCTTAGTTATGGGATGGAGTTACTTTATCTTTAGTTTTTGCTTTCCCCTAACATGCTCAAGGCAGGACTGGGGCGTCTGGGGGCTCACATGGATTGTTTCCTGTCTTTCAGGCCTTGGTGTCATCATTGCCTTGTGTTTCCCATCTTTTCATCTGTTCTCTGTTTTGTTTTCTCTTTTTGGGTATTGCAAATATGAGGGTAAATTGGGTCCCCATTACTCCACCTTGGCTGGAAGTAGAGGTAACTTTTAAAAGAAAATAATAGCATTTCTTTCTGACTCTGAGTTCAGGAAGAGTTTGTTATGTAAGATAACCAAAAACATAAAGGAAGAGGTTGGTACATTCATCTTTCTTAAAATTGAGCACCTTTTCTCATCAAGAGACTCCACAAGAGAGTAAAAAACATGCCATTAACTGAGAGAAGATATCTGCCTCACATAGAACCAAGAATAGTTTGGTATCTAGAATTTATAAAGAACTGCCATAAACAGGAAAAGGTCACTCTGATAGAAGAAGTTGGCAAAAGACATGCATAGACATTTCAGAGGAGAGGAAACATGTATGGCCAATAAATATATGGAAAATGATCCAAATTGAGAGTTCAGTGAGACACCATTTCTACCCACTTGATTGATAAAAATTAAGAGATCTGATGGAGATCTGACGATACTCTTGCATTAACAGGAACTCATTCATCGCTACTGGGAGTATAAAGTGGTTTTTCCTTTTTGGAAAACAATTTGACATTATCTTGTATAGTCAGATAATTTGTACCCTGTGTTTCTAGGTATGTACCTGGGAGGGGGGACTAGATGTTAACAAGAATTTCACATAAAAGAATTTTCACCAGTGGACATATATAAGAATTTATCTAACAGCAGTGTTCGTAATAGGAACAGCAAACCTAAACAATCCATATGACAGAAGAATAGATGAGTTGTGGTGTATTCTCCAAATGGAATATTATGCAGCATACATACTTATTTTATTAAACAAGGAAATGATAAAGTCATGGGTAGTCTTCATCGGGGGAGCACAGGAGTGGGAGAAGAGCAGTGTGTAAAAGCAGATGCAGTGATTCGGAACGTGCTGGGTCTGTGTTAGGTGGTAGGCTTATAGTCCTTTGTTACATCATGCTTTATAACTTCTGTATTTGTTAAAGTTGTTCTCATGTAGTGTATAAAATATGTATTTTAAATAATTTTAAAAATGAAAGAGTTGCCTTCTTTATCAAAACTTGCTATAAAACTAAACTAAAAATTGTTTAGCATCTTATAGTGCCAGAAAGTAAGGCAGTGCTCAAAAGAAGCGAGCAAAAGCCTATGTGATGGGTGTTGAGAGGACACAGTGGCAACTGAGGAGCCCCTGTGGCCAAGGCTGGAACACTTTGAGGAAAAGAATTAAAAAATGCAACTTTCAGTTATTACCCAAAGTGTATAATAAATGTCCACGAGTCCACACTGAAATAAATAAATAAGGGAGAGAAGACCAATCTCTCGCAGAATTCCAAATAACGTATGCAGACGCTCTGCCCCTAGGGAGGGGCGTAACTCTCTACTCCGTGAGCATGGGCTGCACGGAGCGACGCCCTCCCAAACAGCACAGGACGGAAGGGGAGGGAAAGAACAACAAGGGGAGGCCTGGCAAACACACCTCAGCCAGCTCACCAAGGTCACGTCAGCAGAGACGAGTCCCGAGAGAGCACGGACCCCTGACGGGACGTGAGGAGGAGGCACTTGACCCTGTGCTCTTCCTCCCCCAAACCCGCAAGCCCGCGCTCCTCATGAGAAAGCATCAGACAGATCCCAGCAGAGGGACAGTCTGCAAAGTCCCTGAGCAGCACCCCGCAAAGCTGTCACGGCCATTGGAACCAGGAAAGTGTGAGACCATCCCAGCCAAGAGGAGCCTGAGGAAAGGGGATGACTGGATGTGAGGTGGGCTCCTGGAGGAGTAAAGAGATGCTAGGTAAAAACTAAGGAAACGGGCCATCCCTCTGAGGACAGGAACAAGACAAGGGTGCCCACTTTCACCACTCCTATTCAACATAGTACTGGAGGTGCTGGCCAGAGCAATTCGGCAGGAAAAAGAAATAAAAGGAATCCAAATAGGTAACGAAGAAGTAAAACTCTCGTTGTTTGCAGACGACATGATCTTATATATAGAAAACCCCAAAGAATCCACAGAAAAACTATTAGAAATAATCAACAACTACAGCAAAGTAGCAGGGTATAAAATTAACGTGCATAAATCAGTAGCATTTCTATACACTAACAATGAACTAACAGAAAAAGAACTCAAGAACTCAATCCCATTCACAATCGCAACGAAAAGAATAAAATACCTTGGGATAAACTTAACCAAGGAAGTGAAGGATCTATACAATGAAAACTACAAGACTTTCTTGAAAGAAATTGACGATGACATAAAGAGATGGAAAGACATTCCTTGCACATGGATTGGAAGAATAAACATAGTTAAAATGTCCATACTACCTAAAGCAATATACAGATTCAATGCTATCCCAATCAGAATCCCAAGAACATTCGTCACAGAAATTGAACAAAGAATCCTAAAATTCATATGGGGCAACAAAAGACCGCGAATTGCTAAAGCAATCCTGAGCAAGAAAAACAAAGCTGGCGGAATCACAATCCCCGATTTCAAAACATACTACAAAGCTACAGTGATCAAAACAGCATGGTACTGGTACAAAAACAGGTCCACAGATCAATGGAACAGAATTGAAAGCCCAGAAATAAAACCACACATCTATGGACAGCTAATCTTCGACAAAGGAGCAGAGGGCCTACAATGGAGAAAAGAAAGTCTCTTCAACAAATGGTGCTGGGAAAACTGGACAGCCACATGCAAAAGATTGAAAATTGACCAGTCTTTTTCACCACACACCAAAATAAACTCAAAATGGATCAAAGACCTAAAGATTAGGCCTGAGACAATAAGTCTTTTGGAAGAGAATATAGGCAGTACACTCTTTGACATCAGTTTCAAAAGAATCTTTTCGGACACTGTAACTCCTCAGTTGAGGGAAACAATAGAAAGAATAAACAAATGGGACTTCATCAGACTAAAGAGCTTCTTCAAGGCAAGGGAAAACAGGATTGAAACAAAAAAACAGCTCACTAATTGGGAAAAAATATTTACAAGCCACTTATCCGACAAAGGGTTAATCTCCATAATATACAAAGAACTCACACTGCTTAACAACAAAAAAACAAACAACCCAATCGAAAAATGGGCAGAGGACATGAACAGACATTTCTCAAAAGAAGATATGAATATGGCCAATAGACACATGAAAAGATGTTCATCATCGCTAATCATCAGGGAAATGCAAATCAAAACTACACTAAGATATCACCTTACACCCGTTAGATTGGCAAAAACATCCAAAACCAAGAGTGACAAATGTTGGAGAGGTTGTGGAGAAAAAGGAACCCTCATACACTGTTGGTGGGAATGCAAACTGGTACAGCCACTATGGAAAACAGTATGGAGATTTCTCAAAAAGTTAAAAATAGAAATACCCTATGACCCAGCCATCCCATTACTGGGTATCTATCCTAAGAACCTGATATCAGAAATCTCAAGAGTCCGTTGCACCCCTATGTTCATCGCAGCATTATTTACAATAGCCAAGACGTGGAACCAGCCTACATGCCCAGAAACTGATGATTGGATAAAGAAGATGTGGTATATATACACAATGGAATACTACTCAGCCATAAAAAAAGACAAAATTGGCCCATTCACAGCAACGTGGATGGACCTCGAGGGTATTATGTTAAGCGAAATAAGCCAGTCAGAGAAAGACGAACTCTATATGACTCCACTCATAGGTGGAAATTAGTATATTGATAAGGAGATCTGATCGGTGGTTACCAGGGAAAAGGGGGGGTGGGGGGAGGGCACAGAGGGGGAAGTGGTGTACCCACAACATGACTAACAAAAATGTACAACTGAAATCTCACAAGGTTGTAATCTATCATAACATTAATTAAAAAAAAAACAAAAAAACCACTAAGGAAACGGAACAAAATGTGGACTTCAGTCGGTAGTAATGTATCAATATTGGCTCATTACTTGTAACAGATGCACCATACGCATGTAAGATGTTAGTTAAGGGGAACTGGGTGTGGGGTGTGTGGGAACTCTGTGTTTTCTACCTGAGCCCCTCTCTTACCTGCATCGCCTTCTCTTTGCTTCGTTTGACCACTCCCCTGCCCGTGAAGTTGGCCTCACATTCTCTCCTTGTGTCACTTCTGACTCCTACCCTCCTGACCCTTGTCAGAGAACTCTGTCTTGTACTGTTGGTGACAGTGTGGAGCACAGGTGTGTCAGGGTCTTCTGACCCCCACCCTGCCCCCACTCGCCCTCTTGGTACATAGGAGGTGATGTGACATGTGGCCGCCTGTACTTGGTACATAGGAGGTGACGTGGGGAGGCTGCCTGTACTGAAGCACCTCTTTCTCTCTCTCACAGTGGGCATCCCCACCATCCGGTGGTGTGGGGCGGAGGGGGACTACAACGTCATGGTGATGGAGCTGTTGGGACCAAGCCTGGAAGACCTCTTCAACTTTTGCTCGAGGAAATTCAGTCTCAAAACTGTCCTGCTACTTGCTGACCAAATGGTAAGCGTTGGTTTTTCTGAAGTGACAGAGCAGTGGGGCACTCAGCACATGCTTGGTTTGAGTGGACAGTCTGATAAAATACTCCAGCTGTTCTCATAATTATGCCTGTTAGTACACAGGGAGAAAATGAAAGTTCATTAGCCTTTACCATAGGATGACGACCCAGGTGTGGGGTTTGGAGACCCACCCTCTCGGCACGGCCTGGTACCTTCACGCATGGGGCCCTGGTTACCTCAGGAGTGCATCCTTGGTTCCTGATGGGACTTTGTCTAGTACAGATGTTGTCTGGTAGCAGCTTTTCCGTCAGGCTGCTCTCTGTCCAGCCCCTGAGAGCCAACAAGAGGGAAATGCCCAGGCCTGTCGAGGGGGCTGAAGGTGGTCAGTTGAGTGTCCTCCAGATTATTGAGTTACTCTGTTGGGCTAAGGGGTACAGAGCATGCCCAGGCATGGCCCTTGCTCTGCCAAGCAGACTCCTTTTCCAAGGCTGCCCCCTGGGATTTGATCTTTGACCACTGCTTCTCTACCTGCAGATTAGTCGTATTGAATACATTCATTCAAAGAACTTCATCCACCGAGATGTGAAGCCAGATAACTTTCTTATGGGACTGGGGAAGAAGGGCAACCTGGTCTACATCATAGACTTTGGGCTGGCCAAGAAGTACCGGGATGCCAGGACCCACCAGCACATCCCCTACCGCGAGAACAAGAACCTCACAGGGACGGCGCGGTACGCCTCCATCAACACGCATCTTGGCATCGGTGAGCCCGTGGGTGGTGGGCTCTCCTGTGCCCCTGGTCCCTGACCTACGCTGCCATGGGCATGTCCATCTCTCAGCTCAGGGAAAGGCCAGCCTCTTGGGGGACCCTGGGGGTGGTCAGCATGTTTGATGTGGAGGCTGTCATCAAACCTTTGTATCGAAGGTTTCAGGGAGGCTTCAGGGACTCTGGAAACCTTGTTTTGTGAGGTGTGGTGAGGCAGGTAAATGATGGACTTTCTAACAGCTGTGACACTGACGGTGCTCGTCTGGGGTGTTGGAGAATTTCCTGACAGCACGTCAGGGGCAGCTTCTGGTGAAACCAGAGAATCCGTGTATATTTTTTATGATTTTTAAAGTTCATTTCCGTAGTAAGTGTCTGCCTGGGGCCTTTTGCTTTGCTGCTGCAAGTGCACATGTGCCGTCCTTGATCCGTTTCCCTTGTCTTTCCAGAACAATCTCGAAGGGATGACCTGGAGTCACTGGGTTATGTGCTCATGTACTTCAACCTGGGCTCTCTGCCCTGGCAGGGGCTGAAGGCTGCCACCAAGAGACAGAAGTACGAGAGGATTAGTGAGAAGAAGATGTCTACTCCCATTGAAGTGTTATGTAAAGGCTACCCTTGTGAGTTCTCGAGTGGGTGTGCCGAGCCGGCCCCCTCCCTCCTGTGGTTTCTGTGGGAGGAGGGTAACAGCAGCCCCTCCTTTCCTGGCATATTTCCCCAGTGCCTCTATGGGAGGCTGTGAGGCTGTGGGAGGCGAACAAGGCAGGCAGACACACACACACACAGGCTGGCTCCTGGAGACCCCTCCTGACCCTGTTTGGTTAGGAAGGTGGAAAGCGGACAGGTGGCCATAGCTCAGGGAGTTCCCTTTATTTTTGTGGGACTGCCCCTAGGATAAATGCCTCAGTTGAGATTAAATTGTGCCCTGTGATGCTGAATTTTCTGAAACTTTGTGAAACTTTCCTGAGGCCTAGAGTCTTCCAAATCTAACAAGTATTTCAGTTTCCCTCTCTCACACCCTCAGTGTATAGCAGTGGATGGTAAATGGTAACGTTGACACACTCCACGTGGGTCCACGTGGGATTATTACCTGTTAGCTCTGCATCTCCTTGTTTTGCAGCTGAGTTTGCCACGTACCTGAATTTCTGCCGTTCCTTGCGTTTTGATGATAAACCTGACTACTCGTACCTGAGACAGCTATTCAGGAACCTTTTCCATCGCCAGGGTTTCTCCTATGACTATGTGTTCGACTGGAACATGCTCAAGTTTGTAAGTGGCACTGTCGACTCACTCACTTTTCAGTATGGAAGGAGGAACAGCCAGGTCAGCAAAAGGCTGCCAGTGGCTGACGCGTCCACGGCTGTGTCTTTTGTGTGGAGCCGTGCTATCCAAAGTCTGGGTTCTGAAGGCTAATTCACTGCGCTGGGGGAGCCGAGTGTACCTAGTAGGGCCGTGGCCTATATTAGGTTTGCCTGAGGGCAAGAGCAAGATGCCCGTCGAGGGAAAGCAGAGAAGGCACCACGTGGCCACAACAGGAGTGTTGGGTTCAGGGGGTGTGGGCAGCCAGGGGCCACTCGTAGAGTGTCCACAGGTGCACGTCTGCCCAGAACCAAAGCTCTTACTTGAATGCTAAGTTGTCTTTAGGTGAGAGGTCATTTTATCATTGTCATCAATCCTAAGAGCCTTTGACCACCTGTGATGTTGAGGCATGGTGCTCACATGTTGTTGGTGCAGGAGGGTGTGGCCAAGGCTAAGGGCTCCCACTGGTGGGGTGGGAACCTGCTGCCTCCTCCCTCTGACTGAGTGACCAGGCCTCTGAGCTGGGTAGGTGGCCTGGGGAGGCGCTGCACCTTATGTCTGAGTTTGGCCACCCATCCGTGAGTCGGTTTTATGAGTTTAAATAATTAATCTTTGGATACCACTGCCAGAATTCGGTTTTTTGGAACTTCCACTTCCTATTCTTCTATTTAGTTATGAGTTTAAAACAGAAATTGGAATCTCTCTGGGACAACAAAATCTGATGGAGGAGCAGACCCTCCTCTTCAGAGGGTGTACAGTAAGAGAAGGCCTTGTCCCACACAGCCTTGCGGGTGCAGGGGTGCCCATACAGGAACCAGGTGGTGGCAGTGGCTGCAGCCTCCGTGAATAGGGATCCAGTCGGCAGAGCCAGCCTGACCCAGACCTGGTCTGTGCCATCCAGGGCAGAGGCAGGTGCTGGGAGGAGAGCACCCTGCAGGACATGGTGGCTCAGGAGCCAGGCCCCTCTGCTGCGTTGGCCTGTAAAGGACAGCCCTGGTAGTGGTACTGCAGATCACCCAGAGTCTGGACATCAGGGTGGACCTCCTGCCAGAGCCACTTGAAGCTGCTGGTTTTAACGTTGTCATCCCTTTTAGCAGGGCTCAGCAAACCTTTTCTTTAAAGGACTAGATAGTAAATAATTTTGACTTTGCAGCCTGCACAGTGTCACAGCCACTCAACTCTGCATCGTAGACGGAAAGCTGTAGTAGGCAGTGCGTAAGTGAGGAGGCGAGGCTATGCCAGTACGACTTTCTTTGCAGAAACAGAGGGTGCTGAGTTTGGCCTGTGGGCTGAAGTTTGCAGACCCTTGCCTTAGAGCACTGGTGGTTGCGATGTAACCTTTAGCGTGATGGGTACCTTAGCCTAACGAATTAAAATCAAATCCCCTGTGCAACTGGTTTGTTAGTCACTGAAAGCATAACTAGCTGTTTGTGCTGGGAGCAAACCTTGTTTAGCAGTGTCCACCACACGGGCCCTCCCAGGACAAACCCGGCTGCGGGCCTCCTCGTCACGTGTGCATGATGTTGCTGGCATCACCACGATGCAACAGTCGCCATGGGCCGTGAGTCTGGGCGCTGGTTGCCACCACTCACACCTGCTTCTCAGACTCCCCCAACTGGCACCATGTTGGGCCTACCTCTGACCTCAGACAATTTCCTGTCTGTATGTGAATGTTCACAGAGAAGAGGGTCACCCAGCTGCTGCGGGTGTTTGGGGTTTTAGACAGTGCTGTGGTGATGGAGTGGGGGTTCCCCTGCTGTGTTGGAAAGACACAGGATGCCTCATCTTGTTCTGACTTGCTGGTTTGCTGTGGGGAGCTTCATGGGCAGTCTTGTCCCAGATGCCCCTGTTGTTTTCTTGAGTTGCAGGGGGTAGCCAAGGGCCTTGGGTTGTTTTTCACCAAACCCAGTTCAGTTCTGATCTTATCCTCTTTCCTTCTTAGGGTGCCAGCCGGGCAGCTGACGATGCTGAGCGGGAACGTCGGGACCGAGAGGAGCGATTGAGACACTCACGAAATCCAGCCACCCGTGGCCTCCCTTCCACAGCCTCAGGCCGGCTGAGAGGGACACAAGAAGTGGCTCCTCCCACACCCCTCACCCCTACCTCACACACTGGTGAGTGGCCCACTGCTCACACCACATCCCCCTGCCCCTCAGCAGACGCTGGGGGCCTTTGTGTGTTGGTCGCTCTGGAGACTCCAGCTGTGTGACCTAGTCAGGAGCCAGCTCTGTGCACAGAGTTGGGGCAGCTGCAGCTCGTGGGTGATGCCATGTACATCTTCGTTCATGTCAACTGTTGTTCCTGAGGATAGACTGTTCAGGGAACAGCCTGGGACAGTGCCTTTGGGAACATTCATTTCACAGGACTTGGTCTCTTGAAGGATTGAGTTGCCTGAAAGCTCTGTTGCTATTGCTTCTCCTCCTTCTCATGACACAGATTCCTCCCCCAGAAACCTCTTGATACCCATTTCCCCTTCCCCATCTGTGACAGTCATCGTAAGCGTAGAGGCCTGGGCTGCCCTTCCACCAGACGCCTGATACTTTGCTCCTGGGAAGGTCAGCCCGAAGCCACGCACTGGTGTCCTGTGGTTCTTCGTGGGCCCTGCCCACTGATGCTGACCTAGAAATTAGGGTTCAGGCAGTGCTGCGTCGGCTGGGGGCCAATCACCTGTTGCTGCCCTGAAAATCTAGTGAGATGAAGTCTGGTGCCCAGCCCGCCCACAGCTTATTCTATACTGATGCTGAGGCAGGTGAGGGTCCTTGTTAGACACAGCTCCCAAGGAGAGACCCCCTCATGCTGACTGTGGGGCCGCATTTTGAGACCTCTTCCCCCTGTCTCCCCCTCCTTCAGCTAACACCTCTCCTCGGCCTGTGTCGGGCATGGAAAGAGAGCGGAAAGTGAGTATGCGCCTGCACCGCGGCGCCCCTGTGAACATCTCCTCGTCGGATCTCACGGGCCGACAAGATACCTCCCGCATGTCCACCTCACAGGTACGCTCTCTGAGCTCGCCGAGGTCAGGACGCTGTGGGCCACCGACTTCCTCGTGTTCGGACTAGTCTCACGAGCTCCAAGCAGAGTAGGGTGAGGGTTTTGGAGGGTTTCTTTCCTCCCTCCCCTCTTGGTGTTCAGCCCATTGGTGGAGAACCTTAGAGACAAGCTGTGCGGGTGAAGGGCTCAGCTCCCCACCTGTGCTGGGGCAGATAACAGGGCTTTTCTCTTCTGTTGCCCTCTGTGTGGCCCCCCAGCCCCAAGCCGGCCTTGGAGGCCCTGCAGTCTTCCTTATTCAGACTGGAGACGCCACACCTGCTTGCACCATTTGTCTGTCATAGGCACACCCAGCCTTTGAGACTGTTTCCTCATTCTTGTTGGCCAAGGCACTCCCTTAGAGAGCCTAGTGGGGCGGGGGTTGCTGGCAGTCACTGTAAGGTGGCCTGGACAGAGGCTGCCCAGGGTCTGGCGATGTGCTGTGAGGTGATCGTTCCCGTCTTTTGATGTCCCTGTCTGTCTGCTCTCTCCGGAGGCCAGTGTGCTCAGAGAAACGGCGTGCTGCATGATGGAGGTGGGTGGGCAATGCAGGCACAGGCAGCCTAGGCCCAGCTGAGCGAATCTCCACCACTTCCTCCACCCACATCCTCTTCCCACTCTGGCTTTTGTAGCTGCTGTTCTGCGTTCGCTAACGAGCCTCTCTCACCAGAACAGCCCTTTGTGTACATGCTGACTGTTTTTCTCAAATAGTTTTCAGGCTCCCCTCCATGGGCTGGGTGGGGGGCCTTGGTAGGTCAAGAACTTGGCCAAGTGGGGCCTTGGTAGGTCAAGAACTTGGCTAAGCTGGGCCTTTTGTTCTGCTTCAGTGAGCACCCTGTGGGTGTCGGTCAGGTGGGCAGCGTGGGTTTCAGGAATGCACTGGGAGCACCTCTCTGGTTCACTGTGAGGCCTCTAGTTTAGGAGTTGGCCCCTAGGCCCTGCTGCCGGTGCTTGCTTGTCACTGGGTGCAGCTTGTAGCTGCATTGAGTGGGTTGAAAGTATTCGTGGGGTCTGTGAGGACTGCCTGGAACCTCAGTTCTGCGTGTCTGGCTGGTCTTCCGGCAGAGGAGCAAGGTGTGCCCAGGCAGAGGGAGGGCTCCTGACCACCTTCTTTTTAATTAAGTGAAGTGAATAGTTTTACCAAACTCTTCTAATTTACTGATTATTCTACTGGAAATGAGTTGTTTTTGTGCAGTAACTTTTTTCCCAAAGAGACTGAAGATGCAAGTAGTTTGAATTGTGGGGCTTTGAGGGGTCTAGTCAGGGTAATGAAACTGGGCCTCTTGTGGCACCCGGCCCCACACCCTTCCTCCCTCGCCTCAGGACACAGAAAGGGCTTAATGGGTTTCTTCCCATGCGCCCTGGAACCCGTGAGTCAGCAGTTGGGAGCATGTCCTGGGAGGGGTCTGCCTGGCGAGCTTGGCAAGAGGGCCCGGGTGTGTGGCCCCAGAACACCTAAGGCAGGGACAGCTTGGGCCTGTAGATGCTGGGGACTCTGTCTAGACTTGACATCTGCATGTCAGGGGCTCAGCTAGCAAAGACTAAAGAAGGGACAGGCTTAACTTTTTTTTTTTTTTAAAACTAAGTGTCTGATGGATTTGGGATCACTGAAAGAAATGAAAGAGTCAGAAAGTCCTGCGGGTGTGGGACAGTTATGGGTCCGAGTCCAACCTCCTCTTTACCACGTGGCCAGCCTTGGCCCGCTGCCCCCTGAGCACTGACCACACACAGATCCGAGGTCCTTCCTGTGAAGTCTTACCCAGCTGAGGCGAGCTTAGAACTTGGAATCATGCATCTTTGTTCTCTTGTGCTCTCCTTTTGCTTTCCATATGAAGAAGGACAATGGGGGTCTAAAATGTAGCTAAAAGTCTCAGAGAGAAGCGACTTGGGGGTGTTTCTCTCCAAAGAAGCACTTTAGCTTTTGTCACTGGTCACCCTGAAGATTTTCTTAGAATCTTCAGGTTCGGGACACAGCCCTTGGGGGTGTGTCCCACTGCACCCGTCCTGGGAACGGCTCTTTCCTTCGGGTTTTCCTGGTCACCACGGGTGCTCTTCCTTAGGAGACTGTGAAAGGCTCTTGGCCCTCCAAGGGCGTGATCCGTGTCCCTGCAGGACAGCAAGAGGCTTAGCCCAGGGGCTGCCCCCGATGTCTTTCCTGGTGGTTTGGCAGTTATAGAGCGAGTAGGGTTGCTCCAGCTTTTACGATCCTCTAGCCTCCATTCACACTCATGCCTCTCAAAGAAAGTGAGGTGAAAGTGGGAGCATCAGTGCGTCTGTCAGGGGGAGCTGGAGACGCAGGCACCGTGCATGCAGGCCCCAACACAGCGCCTCCTGTTGGCTTCCTCCATGGCTGCTGTTCCTTGGTTCTTTATGCCCCTCCAGGAGGAGGTGGTACCTCCTGTGCAGATGCACTAAGTCCAGGGAAGTAGTTCATCGTCAGCAGTAAGGCGCTCAGAGCCGCCAGCCGGCCTGCACCCTCTGCAGCTGGGTGTGGGCAGGGGCCGTTGACACCCGTGTCCCTTGTCCTGACCCCATGGCACTCAGACTTTGCAGGAGAGTGGCTACTCCTCCTTGCCCCTACTTGCTTCTCAAGGGCAGCTTGTGCTAGATCAGCCCTCGGGCCACAGTCCCTGCATTCCCGACCCTGGCTTGCAAGTTCAGCCTCTTCTGCTAGAATGATGTGGAGCCTAAAGGGCATCTGGTGGGTGGCTCTATTTGCGGGTTTTTTCTCTTTGTGAGAAGAAAGGGCCTCATCAGTCCAGCACTGTTGATAAAACGTAATACTGGTCCCTGGTGTCAATTACTCCTTTTGATTTATTTGTTTTAATCCATCCCCCCCCAGTAAGCTTCATAGCTCCATCTTCTTCCTTGTGTCAGCGAGGAAATGTGTCCAGTCTGTGTGTCACAGTGAGGTGGCTGTCCTCCCCACCTGCCCAAGCACAGGCTGTTCTGAGCAGTGAGCAAGGCCTTGCGGAGCCGTGAGTGCTGAGAGCTTTTGTAGGGGCCGCCGTCTGGGCATCAGATTCTCTTACTGTGTGAGGAGTTAGAAGGGGTCTGTCCTGGTCCCTTGTTGGCCTCATTAATAACAGGTTCATTCTAGAGGAGCAGCAGTGGCTGCAGGGGCCGCTCAGAGAGGGGCGAGGCTGAGCTCCTAGGCAGTTCTGGGGTCTCCTCTGAGGCGGCCCTGGCCAGTGGCGGTGGACCTGGTTGAGGTGAGGAAGCACTTGTGGAAACAGGAGCGCCTTACATGCTGATCCGGCTGGCAGAACCCTTACCAACAGCTGTCTTTTCCCCCCACCTCAGAATAGCATTCCTTTCGAACACCACGGCAAGTAGCTGCACGTCTCCCCGTTGGAAGGCAGCACTGGGTGAGTGTGCTCACGTCGGGTCTCACAGACAGCAGGCACCGGGGCGGGGTGGGGGCCGGCCACCCCTCACCTGCCTGTGGGAGCACGCAGGTGGGTTCGGGCTTGCATGCCAGGTGCTGAGGTAGAGCGAGGCCCCTCCGCCCAGGTCTCTTCCTCATGTGGATTCCAGAGCAGCTGCAGTCAGCTGCCCAGTCTGGGGGCAAGCAGACCACAGAGAGTCCCCAAACAGGGTGACCCCAGGACCCTGCCCACTGTGCGTTGGCCTTTGGTCCCCACGGCAGTCTCAAGTCGGGAGTGCGTGTGGGGAGCAGGAGCCCAGGGCTCTGCACTTGCGCTTGGCTCCAGTGGCCCCAGAACCCTCGAGCCGCTCTGCCCTGGTGTCGGGATGTGTCTTGTCGTGCTCCACTGAGGGGGCCGTGCTTGGTGGGGGTCTTATGCTCTTGCTGCGTGAGGCTCCTGATGGTCTCTGCCCGTCCTGGCTTTGTCATCTCTCTTCCCTTTGCATTTATTTCTGTCTTCCTCGTTTTGTTTTTCTTTTCGAACTTGGTCTCTGCCCAGCATCTCGTCCATGCTGTCGTCTGTATTAACCCATCAGCCACAGCCACCTGCTCCCTTGCCGTTGGTGCATGGCTGGGCGTGCAAGCTGTCTCTGTCGGCTCCACCTTCCAACCAAGGGCTTGCAGCTTCGGTCAGGCTCAGTGCCGCTATGAGAGACCTGCTGCAGTTTTAATATGACTGCACTCTTGGAAACATCTTGATGGGAACTGCTTGTCACGTCTTCCCCAGAGAGGAATCCCAGTGCCCACAGGGAGCCTGGTCCCTGTTTTCAAAACACCAGGTTACTTTCCAGGAAGGAGGCTGGGAGCCAGTATCTCTTCTCCACTTGGACTCTGGTCCGTCGTTCATGAGCTTCTTGGCTCCACAGCCACCAGGCCTCCTGGCCTGCATGCCTCTTCTTCCTTCCCCATCTTCCTGTCACTTGTTCTGCTGAGCACACATCCTGGCTGCAGAGGGACCTTCTGGAATGGCTAGGGGTGCGGGCGTCCAGTGTGGGGCCAGGCGGCATCGGTATCCCCTCTCTCCCAGGTGCTGTCACTGGTGTTTTGTTCCCAAGACTGACCGGCCCTTTGCTCTGGCCTCATGCTGACCTTCTCTTGTGCTTTGGCTCCGACAGATTCCTGGTCGGGTGGCTCCCAGTGGTCTTCAGTCTGTCGTGCACCGATGAGAACGCTCCTTTCTGCTCTGAAGGGCACACACAATGCATGGCTGATCTCCTCTTACAATGGCTTTCCTAGTGACACGCCCCCGGTCTAGAACCGAAACGCTAACACCGGGAGCTCTCCAGGCCACCCCCCAGTGATGCCCGGGGGGAAACAAAAGACAAACTAGACCGACAGACTCCCAGCGCTGCTGTCGCCAGGGGCCACCCCTGAGCCCCCGCCGTGAGTGAACTCCGGTCTGACGGGGCTGGGAAGAAAAGCAGAGTGAGAGACAATCGCAGAGAGAATCAGACTCCCATCCGCGGGCCTTTCAGTTCTCCCTCCAGTGGTGGTACGCCCTGCTCCCTGACGAGTCTACTGTAACTACCGATCTTCTACTTGGTTAAGACAGTTTTGTATCATTTTGCTAAAAATTATTGGCTTAAATCTGTGTAAAGAAATCTGTCTTTTTATTGTTTCTTTCTTGTCTTTTTGCGGTCTTAAAAAGACGTTGACTTTAAAGAGTCCTGAAACAGAGATGCTGCCGTGGAGTTCGTGTAGAATGGAGTGAGACGGGGCGTGGAACACAACGCGAATTTCAGTGATCTGTGCTTGGTGTCTTTGTTGTGTTGTGCGGTCTGCTGTGGAGAGGGAATTTTCTCATCAGAAATTATCACATGTATCCGTGTATGTAAGTAACGTGTGTGTGCTGTGTGTCTTGTGACCTCATTAACCTAGTTTTGGCTGTCACTCTCCCTTCCCCACCGTAAACTAAAATGCCTGCGCAGCACGGACCCACTAGGATTCTTGGAATCGTCAGAGCAGTTAGCAAGGGCACGGCGGGTGCTTCCCGGCAGAGCAGCACTGCCACCTCATCTTCCCAGACATGGCAAGAAGGAGGCCGAGCACTGAAGACCACAGAAGTCGATGCTTTGTGTGTGTGTCACTGAGCCCTCAGGAGAGGGTTGCCAACCAGGAGACGTCGGACCCCTCCCTGGGGTCGTGTGTGGTGGTTTTGGTGGTGGTTGTTGCCTCAATGCCTTTGAATTTGAGAATTTTCTAAACAGACTGTAAATATCACCCATGCAGATTGACCCCTAGTCTGTGTTAACATCTGTGTGCTCAAAACCAGGGACGTGGCCGGCCGCCCCAGGTGCCGGGTTTGCCCAGAAAGGCCAGCGGGGCCAAGGGAATCCACTCTGAAGTGCGAAGAAGCGGGGGACTTGCATGACCTGATCATCCAGCAGGGTGTGGTGTCATGCACTCTCATGACCTTGGTCGGGACGTAGTGAACCCCAGAGGTCAAGAAGTGGGGTGGCGCTGAGTCTTGCCACAAAGATCCTGAGGTGGCCAGGCTCCTGGGGGTTTTCCTGAGATGCTCTTCACTCCTCCCTTCACCCTTGTCTTGTAACAGAGGCACCAGGTGGTGGTAGCAGCCAGTAGAAAGGAGTCCCCCATCTCGGGAAATGAGGTGCAGTATATATTCATAGATACTTTCATGTTTCTTCTGTCACCCCACTGCAGAGTGTTCTGTTTGAAAACGGGCGCTCATAGGAAGGTAGGGACCTAAAAGGTATTGGCATCTGTAAGTTCCCTTCCCACCCCCAAAGTCCCCTGGCACAGGAGTGGTGTGCGTTGATAGTGCAGAGTGTGGCTGTCTGCTGTGTTCTGTATCCTGAGTGGGCTATTGTGTAAGTGTTTTGGGGTGTGGGGACTTGGCCAGGTGGGGCTGTGTCTCTGGAGTGCACAAGGAGCTTGGGTGGGTCAGAGCGAGTTTGGGGCTTTCATTGTGGCCCCATGCTACCTTCAGAGGTCGGCTTCCCCCTCTTGGTGAGGTGTTAGCAGCTGCAGCCCCCCCATGTAGTGTCAGAGATGAGACCGGGCAGCCTTCCCACATTCTGCTTCCAGATTTCGGCGTGAAATTGCCAGATTCCATTTCGAAGGTGGGCTCTGATCTTGAGTCCTCAGCGGTGTGCTTGTGGACGGTTGTTGTCCTCCCAGAAATGTAGTGGAATGTCTGTATCAACCTGTGTATCGGTGGCCAGTCTCTAAACTACGCGTTTGTGTGAACACTGTGTGTGTGTACTTGACCACCGTGTAAATAATAAATTCATGATGACTTCTACCTTTTCCCTGCCCCTGCCATGTGGTCTTTATTTCATCAGTTTGAGTTTTCAGTGTGTGGATTAACCACATGAAAACTTAATTTTCTGAGAATGGGCGTTCAGGTCTGTCCTCTCGCAGCCTGCTGGTGGTGGTGTGAACCAGTTGGGAGCAGACAGAGTGAGACTGGGGATGTGGTGGGGACACGGCTGCTGCTGTCATGTTTCCGGAGCTGACACCCGTGTGGGCCATGCAGACACACGCGTCCACTTTGGGGTTTCTGAAGATCTCCTTTCCCCTGGCTTAATCACTATGAAATGGGCCCCTGACCTCCATGACCCTCGGGGCGGCACCGCCAGAAAGTATTTCTGCCTGCTGATTTTCTGGGGAGTGGACAGTGAGGTGCTGGCATGATGCCGCATTCCTGCTGCCCACGAGGGGTGCACACAGTTCTTGTGAGGTGGCTCCCAGTGGGCCCCTGTGTGGACCAGTGCTCAAGCCTGTCGTTCCCCCACTACTATGATGTCCCATGCCTAGGCACTGTCCCCTCCCCTGGTGTGGTCCTCAGCAGCAGTAGGCAAAGCATCTGAGAAGGCAGCATCTATCTGTCTGCTGTCAGTTGTGCCCATGGCCTTGGCTTCCCTCTCCCACTTGAGTTGCTGAAGCTCAAGAGCCCTGCCCTCCCCCGGCCCAGCGAGCTCCAGATGGGCCGCGCTGTTGACAAGGTGGTGAGGGGCAGGCGGCCGCTGGATACACCTGAAGAGACACCTCCCTGGAAGCTACCCCTCTCCTCCACAAGCTTGCAGGCTGCTCTCCTGCATCCCTTCTGAGGTCTGGCTGGGGGTCCCTCTCAAACTCCTAATCCACCTGCATCTGCTCTTGAGCTTCCCTCCCCCAGCACTATGCCCTGGCAACTGTGGCACTTCCTGGTCCACATCCACTTGTTGCTGGAGCCTTCTGGAACAGACTGGCCTTGTATGTGTGAGCTGGAGGGAAACTGGTGGCAGCCCCGTTGAGACATGCATTCCTGCCCTTCTGCCCCAAGGATGGGAGGGGCAGCTGTGTCCCCACCTCCTGCCCACTTCCCTCCCTCTTCTGCTTCTCTGGCTGTGCCTGGTAGTCCCTGGAAGAGAGCCAGCTCTTCCTTGTCCCATCCCTTCTCACCTTGCCACTGAGACCAAGAGGGTGACCCCCAACGCCTTCTGCTCAGAGCCAGCCCATCCTGTTCTCTGGCCCCTTGGTGCTAGGAGAGCACTCACCACCTCTGTCTTCCTTACTGGGGTCACAGGCTCACTGCTCAGGATGAGTGTGCTCTGGGTCCTGGCCTGGCCTCCACCTCCCACCCTCCCCTAGGCTTCACCCCCACAGAGGGGTGCTTGGAACCCCTCCTGGAACCCCTGTGTTGGAGGAGGGGACCTGTCTTGCTGTCCTGCTCCTGCCTCCTTCTGGTGTGACCTCTGGAAGTAGTGCCTGTCTTTGGCGCCATCCTACTTGTAAAGGTGTGTTTGAGGTTACAGGGGAGTGTCCGCTATGTTCTGTGTCCTTGAGGATACAGTTTAGGTGCTGGGAAGAACTGGGCAGTCCCTCAGGAAACCCCATGAGTGGGCCTTGCAGGTCTCAGCAGCTGCTCCCTGGAGTGTCACCAGCAGGCCCCTCGGGCAGCCACAGAATGGCAGGGTCTGCCTGCCTGGCAGGCCCTTTCTGGTCCTGTCCCCAGGCTCCCCCAACGTGGGCCCTCCATGCATTTTCCAGGTGTTCTTCTGCATACACCATTACGTGTGTGTGTGTGTGTGGCAGGTTCCCCCAGCTCTGGCCCTTGCTCGTGTACCCCTTGCCTCTGATTTAGAGTGATGTGTGCACCCTCTGAGGAGGGGAGGGGCCGAGGGACCCACTGAGAGTGGCCTCAGCATAGTGTCTGCGTCAGTGGTGGTGAGGGAGTCTTCATAGGATGCTGGGTATGAGTCTCCTTTGGCAGGGATGTCTGGAGGGTGAGGGGCAGCCCTGTCCATGGTCACCTGGTCCCCTAGAGTACTGACTGCTCTCCTCAACTCCTCTTAGGGCCCTTGGTGGCCACACCTTCCTGAAGACAGGAAGTTCTCTGTCTCCATGTCTTGGGCACAGCTGGAAATATTTGGAACCAGAAACCTAGGCTGACAATATCATCTGCTCACCCTCTACCCCCAATCCCCAGTCTGGGTAGAGCCCCTGGATGATGTAACCAGCTGATGTTGTTGCTACTGGCAGGGCCAGGGGTGGCCTTGGGTCCATCTAGCATCTCCACCAAGGTGCCGGCTAAGGGACAGATGGGCCTATGTTCCTGAGGCCCAGAGAGGGTGGTGGAGCTCTTGCCCACCCTGGAGTGCAGGGACTCCAGCCTCGGTCCAACTGTGGGGTCCCAGTCCAAGCAGAGGAACCTCAACATGTTGACCATCTCAAAAGCACTTAATAGTGTCCCCAGAATATGACTGGGGGATCGCTGGTTTGGGTGCAGGTGTGGGGACAGGAGGGGACACCCACTTCCTGTTGCTCCTGGCTGGCAGGGGCTGAGGCAGCTTAGGATGAGAGTGAGGGGAGATGCCAGTGGAGGGTACTGGGCCCTTTCCAGGGAGCCTGGGATAACTCCACATGACCAGCAAAGCCGGTGTGAACAGCCCCAGCAGGCCCTGAGGGATGGGGGGCGGCTGGGGAGAGGTGCGTGGGCAGGCTACCCTCCACCTCCCTTTCCCTCCCAGTCTCGGGCTCAGGTAGGCAGTTGCAGAGAACACATTTGGGGCCAACCCTTTGAGAGCTGACAAAGGTGGTGCCCCGGCCTTAGCTTCGCCCAGGGGCTGGCCTGAGGGCTTGGCAGCCCAGACTGGCCCACCTTACCGCCTTACACAGGGCCAGGAAAGCACACGCAGGGCTTCATCTTGATCCTTGTGACTACCAGCACCACCCATAGCCCCATCTCCTGGCAGAGGGGACGGAAAGACCAGAAGGGGCAATGGGGCGGGTGCCCAGAGCCAAGGGACTGCGCCTGAGCTGCAGGAGCCTGGCTTCCCTGCAGAGCCCGATGGCTGGGTGGAGGAGGGGGAGCTGCAGCTCCCTCATGGCCATGTCTCCGTAGCTGGGCCGGAGACGTGAGCTCTCCCTTGCTTTTCATTGCAGAGGAGCAGGGACGTGGCATCTCTCCGGCTGCATGCGGCCCGCCAGGGTGCCCGCTGCCGTCCCCAGCGCCCGCGACGCACCACCTACTGAGGCGGCCCCAGCGGCCTCTGACCGGGCTCCCAGCCACGCAGGCCACTGCTGGCCACAAGGGCAGGTGGGTGTGAGGTACCCGGGGCGAGGCCAAGTGGGGCTGGACCAGGAGGACGGGAGCAAATACCAGCCCTGGGTGCTGACCATGTAGGGCCACTATCAGCCAACTGAGGGCTGAATAGATGGAAACCAGGAAGATCATTTTGTTTAAACACACACACTAATGAACAAAAATCACAAGTATGTCTCAGCTTAGTGCACACACCTTGTAGGGGCTCCCAGCAGGGGCCGCATCCTTGCAGCACGGTCAGGGCCCTTTGTGAATGCTCTGAGCTCTCTGGGGTCCAGCAAGGCAGGGTCTAGCCCAGCAGTGCTTAGAAAGCTGACAGGGCTGATGAGGACCAGAACCACTATGTAAAAATAACCAGGTTGTTGAGAAAGTGAGATTCGGGGTGAATGATCAGATCACTATCCCCACGGAGAACAAAACCCCTGCACCTCCTGGCAGACATTCCTTCCGAGAGTCTCCTCCCACACGCAGGTTTATTTCAGACCTTCCAGAACTGAAGAGAGGGAGGCCGTGTCCCCTAGAGGCTCAGAGAGGGGTCGGCTGGGGCATCACATGGGAGAGCAGGGCTGGACGGGCGCGGGGAGGGCCGACTTGGCAGTGCCCACCCCGCCAGCTGTCCCAGCCCTGCCCCTGATTAAAGTCATGTTGTCTCTGAAGTGGGGGTTTCTAGGTCCTTGAGTCCAGGTGGGCCCTGGGCTGCTCTGGGGTCAGCGGGCTGGGTTCCTGGTACAGACGGTTTGTAACCTCATGGCTTGGCTTCATCACAGATCTGCTTTGGAATGACACAGTTCCCACCCTGCCACCTCCCCCGAAAAACATTGATCAGGTGATGGTCAGCTGCCCAGGCAGCCAGCGCCCCACCGACAGCCCTGCCCAAGCTAGTCCTGTTTGTGAAATAAATATGAGCGTTGACAGTCTCCGTCCAGTTCCCTGCACCCCTGCTGGCCTCCTCGGCTCAAACGCTTGTTTCCGGGGTGTGAACGACCTCCCCATTTTTCTCAGGCTCTGCCTTCAGGAAGTGTTCCACCTCCCGTGAGTCCACTCTTACGTCTGCGTCTGGGGGGGGCTTGTGGTGTTCCTCCTCCTCCGCAGCCGCCTTGGGCCTCCTACCGATGCAGAAGAAGTTGCCCAACACCAGCACGAAGGAGGAGGTCACCACCTCGGCCCCTGCCAGGAGGAACACGTACTGGTAGACGTGCGTTGCATCCAGGAGCTTGCCTGCAGAGGGAACAGCGTCAGCTCTGGCCAGAGGCTTCCACTGAATCTCCCCCATGCCCCGTGGTGTCTGGGCATGGGTAACGCGTCCGCCACAGTCACTGGCTGCCTGCTTGGCAGTGCGCTACCAGGGACAGCCCAGGAAACTTGAGGCAGAGTTCTGGCCTGGCCCTCCCCCACCCTCTGGCAGCGCAGACCCAGAGGCTTAAACCAGAGTGACTTTGAGGAAGGTTTGGATCCTCGTGGGTACAGGTGGCAGAGTCTCGGGGTGGGGGCCTCGTCCAAGGCACCTGGGGGGATCCAGCCCCATTTCCCATTGCCGTAGGCCCGTGAAGGACCCCAGCACCCTGAGACAGTGAGGGTTTGGGCACCTCCCCACCCCTGCCCCCTGGACCCTTCTGTCAGGGAGAGGAGCCAGAGGGCCAAGGTGCAGCCCAGGTGCTCATGGGGTTCTGTGGGGGCGGCTACAGGGTCAGCTGGAGAGACCCAAACCCAGGTAAAGAGGCTTGGCTTGGGGCTTGGGCCAGGCTGCTTCCCTAGTCCCACCATTTTAAATTCCACTCCAGTGCTTGCTCAGCCTTCAAAAAGAAAGGCGAAAGTCCAACATGACGATAGCTGGCTCTTGCCTCACCCCAAAGGGGCGGCACCACAACTCTGCCCCAGGCCACCACTTGTCCCCAGGGCCAGGGGCAACACCTCCCCCCGACCCCCCCAGATTTGCACTTGCTTCTGACACCTGCTGATCTATGCTATGAAGTAGCAAGCCCCAGCTCTGCAACAGCACTCACCTCCCGACGGGGGCCCAATGAGCACGGCCACAGCCTCCAGCAGGAGCACAAGACCAATGGCACTGGAGAATTTGTGGGTGCCCACGATGGCCATGAGCACTTCAAACTGCAGGGCCCCCACCATGCCGTAGGAGATGCCGAAGAAGATGCAGAAGACCACCAGGCCACCGTAGTCACTGGCTGTGGATCCCGTGAGGTCGGTGAAGCCGTTGAAGAACATGGCAAAGCTGAAGAGGTAGACAGAGTAGGGCCGCACCTTCTTGAGCCCCGTGATGAAGCCAGCGGTGGGCCGGGCGAAGATGTCGATGAAGCCCAGGATGGTGAGCAGGAAGGCAGCCTGGGTATCGGGCACACCCAGGTCCTTGGCATAGCTCACCACGAACACAGGTGGCACAAAGAGCCCCAGCACCATGATGGAGGCGGCCACAGCGTAGATCACAAAGCCACGGTCCCTGAAGACACTCAGGTCCAGCAGCCGCCTGGATGGCCGCTGGGGCCCTGGCCTCGAACCTGGCTTGGGCGCCTCCAGGGGTCTCATGAGCGCAGCGCACACACAGCAGTTGAGCAGCAGGCCACCCAGGATGAGGAAGCCACCCCGCCAGCCGTAGTGGTCCTGCAGCAGCTGCCCCAGGGGGGACAGGGCGCACAGGAACACGGGGCTGCCCGCGGCTGCAAGCCCATTGGCCATGGGGCGCCGCTTGTTAAAGTAGCGGTTGAGCATGATGAGGGAGGGCTGGAAGTTGAGCGCCAAACCCAAGCCTGGAGGAGGGGTGTGCAGTTAGGTGTCACCCTGCCTGTCCAGCCCCCTGCCCTGCCTCTGGTTTTCCCAGGCACAGGCTCCAGCCTGAAGGGTTCTGTGTGTGTCTGATGGGGTCGATGTGAGGAGACCCAGTGTGTGTATAGAGCAGAGTCCCTGTCACTGACTGACGCCCAGGAGAGACAGAAGGGACTGAGGGACAGGACACCCCACAGCTGCCCACCCCTGGGAGGCCCTGCTCTGGGCATACTGCCCTGTTCTCCATCAACCTGAGTCACTGCCACCCAGCCACCATGGGCCGCCCTGCTCCCACTCACCGGTAATGACCCCCGTGGTGAGGTAGAGCTGGATGATGCTTCCGCAGAAGGACGCAGACACCATGCCCAGGGACGCCAGCAGGCCTCCTGCAAGCATGACGGGCCGGCAGCCAAAGCGATTCACACACACGCTGCAGAGCGGGCCTGGGAAGGACAGCAGCTGAGGGGCAGGGCCGAGTCCAGCCTCGCCCCACAATCACTGAGAGACCTGCCCCAGGCAGCGGGCCTGGGCTGGCCCTCCCCTCCCCGACACCCCATGCCCCAGCTCAGCAGACGCAGCAGGAGCACCGTGGACACCAGGTGCCCAGGGAGCATCACACTCGCCATCTTCCCAAGCAAAGCAGGCTTCAGCGGAAGTTCCCCATTAGTGGTCTCCTTTCTGGTTGGCCTGTGCAGGCAGCAAGAACTAACCATCTGTAAAACCTCGTTATCTGGACTGTGTACAACTGTGTGCAGATAGAGCCCATTTGGACAGGGTCCCAGACACCCTTGGCCAGTTTGGTCCTACAGGAGCCCCCAGAGGCCTAGACTGCAGATGGGGAGATGCGCTGGCCACCCTAGCCCTCTTGCCACGTGAGGCTCTTGACCCAAACTGAATGTGGTGAACTCCCAAAGGCGATCCCCCACCCCCTGCCCTGGGCATGATGGTCCCTCACCTGTCCCGTACAACATGGCCAGCAGGATGGAGGAGATCCAGGCTGTGTCACTGTAGCCGATCCCAAACTCACGTATGAGCTCCTTGAAGAAGACACTGACCGCCTTGGGGAAGGCGTACGAGAAGCCCGTGATGACAAAACAGCCCAAGAGGACGGCCCAGCCCCAGCCCCCATCCGGAGCCTTGATGCCAGTCGGGCCCTCGTCAACCACAGCCCCTCCCATGGCCAGGAGGGCTCGTTGCACGTCCCTGAGAAAGAGGAAGACAGGCTGACTAGGTTGTCAGGCCACCCAGCAGCGCAGGGACAGAGAGGCACCTAAGGGCTGGGCGCCCCTTTTTTCAGGCCTCAGCCCCCTGCAGGAGCCCAGCTGTAGGCCAGCTGGCTGCCCGTGCTACCCGAGAGCCCTGCCTCTGGCCCTCACCCACCTGGGGTGGCCAGCTGCAGCCTCCCCTCCAGCCCCCTCCGCCCTCCTCTGCGCAGGCCTGGCCTGCCCCCACACAGCTGGCTCTAAAGGGCAGTGGCTTTTTTGGGCTCAGTCAGGTCTCAGGTTACCTCCTGAAGAGGGCAGACCCCAGTGGCGAAAGCAGCCCGCCCTCCCCTGTGTCGGGAAGCAGCCTCCACTGCAGCGGGTTCTGGCAGCCAGCACTTCCCGTCCCCTCAGGCGATGAAGCAGGCCTCAGCGGGCGGGTTGCATCTGAGAGGGGACCTGGGGCCAATCTGGGGGTGCTGTCTCTTGGACCTAAATCTAGATGTGGCCAGCCTTGCTCTTGCACCCTGGGGAACCGGGCCTCTGATCCTGTCCACTCTGATCCCACTGCACCCTTAGGGAGAATCTGAAGAGAAGTTCTGCTGTGCCACGGACGGAGTAGGGGCAGTGGGGGGCAGCCAGACCAGGGAGTGGACAGCAGTACCACTGAGGAGGCAGGTGGGGAAGACGGGCCTTGGGGAGGAGAGCCCCCTAGGCAGGTGGGCACTAGGGCCAAGCCCAGGTGGAAGGCGCCTGCCTGCTGCTGGAGTCTAACCCTCTGGTGAGGGAATGGCGGGCTTCCATCCAGCCCCCTGGAGCAAACCATTCTGGCCCCAGGCTGCCAGGGCTGCCAAGGCGAGGAGGGAGCTGGCTGCACCCAATGCCAGCCCCAAACCCCGCAGCAGCCCAGGGTTGACTTCCCTCTTTTAAACCCCAGGAACTTAGCTCATCTGAGGCACAGTAACACGGAACACGGGGCTAGACTTCCAGCTGGAGACCCTTCCCTCCCCTTCCTTCTTCACCCCCACCCTCCAACTGAGGCTAGCTCTGGAAATGCCCTGATCCCAGAGGTCAGCCTGGGGGCCTGGTCCCCCCACCTCACCAGATAGAAGCTGTTCCAAGGAGAGAGTCTGCCTCCCGATGCAGGTGTGGGGAAGGGAGGACAGTCCTGAGAACTGGGGCTTGTTCAGTCCAGCCTGCTCCACTGCCCACAGAAGCACGGGTCTCTGCCCACCGGCGGTGCGCTGTAAACCAGCTCTCTGGGGGAAGAAAAAGCCCCGGTGTATAGCATCTGCCAACTCTGTGGTGTAAAGACTCCACCTGCGCTGATGCCTGAGGACTTCCTGACTCGGAGAGCCTGGTGCAGGCAAGCCTGGTGATGCCTGACAGCCCCCTTCCTATCGGCCCACCAGCCCGCCCACTCGGGTTTCATAATCTGTCCTGCTCCACCCCCTGCCCCTTTTCCTCAGTTCCTCCTTGACCTGGCACAGCCCCGCTGCATGGCCCATTTTCTGCATCTAAGGATACACGGAGGCTGGGACAGGACTCTGGAGTGAGGACAAGGGCCTCTGTGCCTGGGCGATCTGAGCACAGGTTCAGTGTGGAGGGCAAAGGAATGTGGAAAATGAGAACCCCTCTCCTAGCCTCCAGACAAGCCTTAGCGTCCTGGCCACAGGTGCTGTGCCCTCTGGGGGACCCTGATTCAGTGATCTGGGGGGGGGATCTGGGCTCTGAATCAGTAGTCTTGGGGGGATCTGGGCCCTAATTCAGTGATCTGGAGGGGGATCTGGGCCCTGATTCAGTAGTCTGGGGGTATCTGGGCTCTGAGTCAGTGATCTGAAGAGGGATTTGGGCTCGGATTCAGCAGGTGTGTGTGTACGAGGGTGTTTTTTAAAGGGGCTCCTAGATGATTCCAAGCAGTAGCTGCTGTCTGTGAGCACTACTGTTTGATGATCGGACCCCCAGGGGCCAGCTGGCTGTCAGGGTGATGACAAGGCAGACACAGCCCACTGGAGCAGAACAGTGGCCCTACCCCCTCCCTAGGCTGGGCCGGAGGTGTGCTGGTTCCCAGCTGGGCCAGGGCCACAGGCGCCACTTCGGGGTAGCGCAAGAGAAGCTCTTGCCTCTCCTGGTACCTAGACCCCAGTGTCTTCAGGCCCTGCCCACTGCTCTTTGCCCCGAGTGCTCGGAAGGCTCCTGGACTTCCGTGAGCAAGACGGGGGTTGTCTCTGAGGCCAAACGCTGAACAGCCGTCCAGGGGATACAGTTAGCCGAAAGGTACACTGGGTGCCCCAACCAAGGGAGCCCCCATCCTCCTACAAACATGTCCACAAACCAGTGACCTGGCACAGCCCCCCAGGTGGCCCATTTCTGCACCTAAGGCATACATAGGACCTGGGACAGGACCAGAGTGAGGACAAGGGCCTCTGTGCCTGGAGGATCTGAGCACAGGTCCCATGTAGTCCCACCCTTGTGGTCTCTCCTCCAGAGACCAGCCTCGACTGTGCAGCCATGTGCCTGAGCCCGGGATGAGACAAAGGGGCAAAATCATCCTTTGGCCAAAACACACGAGGGGCACCAAGGCAGATGTCCCTACCCACCTTACTGTTAAGTTTAAAAGGTCTCTAAGGTATGCACAGCAGGGTAACTTTAAAAAAAGCAAAAAACTAAAAAATATATATTTTAGGAATACAGTGTGATGCATTGACACTGTATAAGGTAGAAAGCACAGTTCTAAGGTAGAACCCCAGACCCAGGACACACGACAGGGGTCACGGTCATGGAGGCACTGAGGGGTTGGCTGTCCTCAGAATCCCAGCTTGTTTTCGGTTCTGGGCTCATTCATACACATTTATTGCACTTTTGAAAATAAATCAAGTGGGATGTGCTAAGGCCAAGGAGGGGAGTGTGTCTGGAACCGACAATTAGAAACAGGCCAACTCTGTATTATACCAAGGTCACAAAACAAACAGGGCCTCTCTCTCAGGTCTCCCTGCTGTGCCAGCCATGCCTGTCGCTCACAGGCGGAGCCCCAGCCTTCGAGGCTCCGTTCTCTGCTTGTCCGCTGCCTGCTGTGGCTGGGCCCTCCCTGGAGGCTCCCAAGGTCCCCAGGAGACAGACGCTGGCTGCCTGTGGGACATGGGGTGTCCCCTGAACTAGCATCTCAGAGGGTGAGGAGACAGCGGTGGGTGCCAAGGCTCAGAGGCCAGGAGGGTACAGCGTGTTCTGGAACCTGTGTTCTGGGCAAGTGGCTGCCATGTGAGGCTCACGTGGGGAGGGGCCCATCCTCTGTATCTGGACCAAGGCCCAGCATGGGCACTTCTCCCACCTACCCCGGAACCCCAGAGGCTCTTCAGACACTGCTTTCTCCCAGCTAACCCCTACCCTGGGGTGCCAGCCACATTGAAATGGCGCCCCCGCCCTGTTCGCCCCACCTTAAAGTGAAGTTTCTCAGCAAGGTTTCAGTTTGCCAGTGGGGGGTGGTGGGCAAGCAGGGAAGAAGGTAGGGGCTGCGGCTCTAGGTGTGGGGCAGAGGGATTCTGCCCAGCAGGGCTGTGCATGTGTTTGGGGGCAGGGGGTGTAAAGAAGGGGCTGGGATTTCCAAGAGCCAATCGGCCTCATCAACCCCTTCCACACTCGGGGAGGAGGGCCACCAAGGCACAGGCTGACTCATGTTCCAAGGAAAACCCTGCCCCTGCACAGGCCAGACGCAGGGTGGGAGGAGTGGCCCCCCTTGGGGGCTGTCAGGGACCCTCACTGCAGGGGGAGGCAGGGCCAGCAGGTCCGTGTTACATGCTGACCCGCTGGCCTTTCAGTGACATTTACCCTCCCAGGGAGGCATGCAAACCACGTCCCCAGCCCAGAAATAACCCGCCCTCTGGGCCTCAGAAAGCTGATCTCCCAGGTAGGGTGCGTGTGCCTGCTTCTGGGTCAGACGAGGCTCCAGGGGCTGCCCCCGAAGGTCCCGTCAAGGTCCCACAACCCCAGGCAGCTGAGAGCTGAGCAGAGGACGGCAGGAGGAGGAGTGTGCACAGGGCTCCCTAGGAATGACGTTCAGCAGACCACACATCTGAGAGTCCTCTGTGCCCTCCCAAATCGGGCCCTTGCAGCTGCTCCCTCATGGATCCACTGGCTGTCTGGGTGAGAGTCCCAGCTGGGGTCAGGACTCGGGACCTCATTCTCCTGCATCACCCCCTCTCACCAGTGCCCCCTTCTCTGCCTACACTCAGCCCAGCTTTGAATTCCATCTTGGTGTCCACAGTGCCCAGCCCTGCCAGCTCCACATCTCCACCTGGAGGGCTGGCACAGACCTTGCACAAACATGTTCCCAGTATGACTCCTCACACCCCCACCTCAGGGCCAGCCTCGGCCACCCTAACCCACATTCTGTAGGCCTCTCCCAGCTCCTGGGGCCCCCCTTCTGCCACTCTGCTCCAGCCCGCAGGCCCGCTGCCATCCCCAGTGCACCCTGGCATGCTCCCCCTTAGGCTTCTGTACTGGTGGTGCCCTCACCCACCTCGGCTCTGTGGTCCATCAGCCACTGGGTTCACTGTGGTGGCCCTGGGCCCTAGAGCCTGCAGCCTGTCCCAGAGGCTTAGTAGGTATGCCTTCCAGGGGAGGCTGGCCAGTTATCTAATGGACTTCCAGTCCTTGGAGGCCAGCTCTGGGTGGGCGGGGCGGGAAGGGGGCAATTACATTCCTTCCTGGACTCTTGTACCACCAGGCCTTGGAGACATGCCTGAGCAACAAGGAAACAGCCCCAGTGTGGCTAGCACCTGGCTCCTCTTGAGCCCCGAGGCCCCTGAAGCCCCGGGGCGGGCAGTGGACAAGAGGGTGCTGTGCCCTCAGGAGGAGGGGGGGCTCCCCGTTTCTTCCTTCCCCAAATGCCCCTGTTGTGCAAACAGGTCCAAGATGTCCTCCCCCACCAGGGGCACAGAAAGCACCACTGCTCAGAGCACCTGGCCTCTTCCCAGGCTGGGGGCAGGACCCCAGGTGCCCATTGCAGCACTGCCCCCACCTGTGTGCAGAACTGTGACTGGAGGGAGGTGCCTGGGATTTTTTCTGGGGACGTGGGAGGTGGGCACCGTTGTAGGGTCTGTCCCAGGCCTGCTAAGCACGACCTGGACCCTCTACCCCACCTGCACTGACCCCACAGCCCCCCAGTGCATGCCTGGTGTCCCAACAAGCTCCCCAGTGGGCTCACCTCTCCTTGCAGGGGCCAGCGAGGCAGAAACACTGGCCTCATTCGCCAGACTGGACAGTGTGCCCCAGAGCCAGCCCGTCGCTCTGAGTCATTCTGCCTTCCAAAACCATCCCCCATTGTGACAAGGAGGAGACCATGAGCAAGTGGCCCTGGGGACGTTTCTGGGCTTACCCTGTCAGAGCCCCCTCACCTGGAAGACTCCGAGGGCAATGAGGAGGGGCCAGGAGGCAGTGGAGGCTGGAGCAGGCCCCAGGCCCTCTCCTCCAGGCCTGGACCCTCCACTCTGCGTCCACGTGGCCACCTTGTCCCATTCCTCATCTCCCTGCAGCCAGTGCCCTAAGGTGAAGGCCAACAAGGGAGTCTCTGAGTCAGCAAGTCCCATGGCCAGGAGACGCCTCTCCCACCAACACCGGGGCTCCCAGCTCCCACCACGCCCCCACCCGGTCTGCGGGGGGGCAGGTGGGAGAGAGGGAGGTGGTTGCGGAGGATAGGAAGGCTGGGCGGGGAAGGAACCTGAGCTCAGAACCCTGAGCTCCACCCACCACGCCCCGCTTCCGGCTGGGCAGGTGGGGGTCGGCTCCCACCCGGCAGAGACGGGGTGGGGTGGGGTGGGGTGGGGTGGGGGTGGGACGCGAGCACGCTCCGCCCGCCCCACCCCGGCCGCTCGCCTGGCCGCGGGACGTGGGGGACGTGACCGCGCCGAGGGAGGAGCCGCCGCCGTATTGCCTGGAGTAGGCGCCCTTCCCGTCCGCTACCGTAGTGGCCGGCGCGCGCGATCCACGCGTGGGGTCCCTGGGGGCAGCGAGTCCCGCCCGCACTGGGCTCCAGTGGACCCGCGCGCCGAAGGGAACCGTGCGGCCTCTCCCGACGCTCCCCTGGGGCGGGACTGGCTTTACTTTCCCTCTAGAGGGGCCGGGCCGAGTAGGCGCGGCTTGGGCTGGGAACGCTGACTGAAGACTCCGGGTCTCTGGGACCGGCGTCCCCGCGCGGCCCATTTCACAGATGAGGACTGAGGCCGGCACGTCTACCCTCGCCGAGGCGACGCCGTGAGCAGCCCTAGGCCCTGTGCGCTCCCGCCCCGCCCCTGCGTCCCGGCCCAGTGCCCGGTGCGCCTCAGGCCTGATCGGGAGGCGCCTCCGACGGACGGACGGATCGATCGTTCTGCGCAGCGTCTTCTCCACTTGCCACCTCCCAGAAGAGCCAGCCTGTGGCCCTGGGGTCGCCCTCCTAGGCTTCTCAGATCCAGGGGATGGCACTGGCCTTTCCCCTCCACACCAGCCAGGTCACTGTGGGGACCCGCCCTGGAATGAGTCTGGCCTGGCAGGGGGGACACGGCCTGGCAATGAGTGGGACCCCCTGGGCCCCCGTCCACACACACTCCCGGGCCGCTGCTCTGGGGAGCACGAACATCCCCTCGTTGCTTCCCCTCCAAACTGAAGTGTCCAGTTGGAGTCAGTGTTGCCTCCTGGGTGTCAGGCCCTGCCCAAGGTCACACGGGGTGGTTACAGAGCCTGCACTGGGACCAGGCTCCCAATGCCTACCCCAAGGTGTGTCCACACCACAGACTGCTGGGCAGGAAGGCTCCACACCTGCTTGGGCACTGCCACCAGTGCCCTCAGGGCCCCTCTGAGGACAGACGTCCCACGATGGGATCCAGTTCTCAATCACTGCTTGTCCCCAGGGGCCCAGTCCAACCTCCATGACACACTCATGCATCTGTCCCTGTCCCTCCCAGCACCCACCTGGCCTAGCAGACCCTGGAGCCTTCGGAATGATGCAGGGGACCCCTGGAACCCACCCATCCATTCAGCACCCACCCTTGCTCTTTGGCTTTAGACAAGCCCCTCAGGCCTGGGTGGCATGGGAGAGGGTCTGGCTGCCATCTGCTGTACCTCAGACCACCCAGCCTGGCCATGGTCATCACACAGTGTGATCCTGTCAGCCCAGGCACCTCCGGAAGTGCAGCTCAGCACCTCTAGGACAGAAAAGCATTCTGGCCCCTAGGCTGCCCCTTTGTCCCTCACCAGACTCCAGCTACCCTCAGTGGCCACTACCAGACTAACTGCTTCCCTTCCAGTCACATCCAGGTAGGTGAGTTATCAACCCACTTTTCAAGATAAATAAATTGAGGCTCTTGAGGCCCCAGCTGGTTTTCCCATGGGCTAGGGGTCTGAGAAGCGGGTGAAGCAAAGCCAGGGGTCCAGCCTGATCCGGAGGGGGCCCCCACCTCTCTGCCCCGGTTATGGGGTGGAAACCGTCGCCCGGAAACCGTCGCCCGAGGGCAGGTATGGGTTAGTGAGTGTACGGGCGGCAGCGAGAAGCGGGAGATGATGGAGAGGACTGCCGGCTGGAAACCGCCCCCCCGCCCCCCAATTAGCACCGCGGCCCTGAGCGCACGTGTTCCCACTCCCTTGGGGAGGGGGCCCGGGCCCGGCGGCAGTCCCACCAAATATAGCCCGCGCGCCCCGGCCGCCCGTCACAGACCGAGCTATTTATACCCGGGACCAACTCGGAAGCCGGGTGCAGTAGTCTTGGTCACAGCCCAGCCCCCGAGGGCCGCCCGACGGAAAGGCACCGGGGCCGGCCCGGGAAGGCGAGGTCGCGCATCCCGGGTCTGAGGGCACGAAAGGGTGCAGCTGGTTCCCCGGGGCCCCTCGATGGGGGCTGCTTGGAGTGGGGGGCTCGTCTGTGCCTCGGGCGCCCCAGGACCAGGAGAGTAAGGGGTGAGGGGGGCGGAAGCGCGGACCTCAGAGCTGCCACCACGCCGGGCGCGGACTCAGCGCCGGGGGCCGCGGAGGGTCCCGGCCCGAGGCCCGCGCCAAGCATCCGGGCCGCGCCTACCTGCCGCCGCTCGCCGCCGCGCGCTTCTGCCCGCCTCGCTGCCGGGCGCCGCGCCGGGGGCGACTCAGTTCTGGTCGCTCGCGCGGCACGTCCCCCGCGCACGTCACCGCCGCCTGGCGCCGCCCCTGCTCGCCCCGCCCGGACCCCGCGCCGCCGCGGAAGGGGCGCCCCTGGGGCTCCCGGACGGCGCGTCCCCAGGGCTCCCGCCGGGCCGAGGGACTCCTGCGCGGACCCCGGCCCGGAGACTTGTCTTCTTGCCCGGCCTGGCCCGCGCCCCCCGCGTCCTCGGACCGGCCCCCGGTCTCGCCTCGCCCTGGCGCTGGGTTGGGAGCCCCGGCGCTCAGCCCCCTCCCGCCCCTTCGTCTCCCCCTCCGTGGGCGCTCTCTTCCTTCCGCCCCAGCTCCGGTAGGAGCACGGCCGGGTCCCGAGTGCTCCGGGGCAAGGATCCCCTCGCCCCTCCACGCCCAGGCCGTGCCCTTTGACAAGTGGACGCGCTCACACCCACCCGCACCCCGTGCCGCGAGGTGTCCACGGACCCCGGGGGTTCCTGCCTCCCGGCTCGACTCTCAGGCCCACAGGCCTCCTTCCCCAGACCTCCCTGGGATCTGCGCCCCCATGCAAACCTCCACTTCCTCCCGGGTGCGAACGGTGGCAGCTTCTCCTGGCCTGGGGAGCGGGCCTGGCCCCCCTGAGCTGCCTGGGTGATCTTGGGCAAGGCTGTCATCCTCTCTGAACTTCCGTTTCCCCATGTGGCTTCGCGCGCCTTGCGAAGCCAAATAAAGCCTCTGCCCCCGGCCCTGCGCCTCTGCCCCTCCCTTCATTCGCCCAGAACCTCGCCGGCCCCCCAGGCGCTCCCTGATGGCACGCGGAGCCACACCCGCCCACGGGGGAGGGTTGATCCAGATGGGTCCTAGGCAGGGTGCTTGGAGCCTCATCTTTCTCATCTGCCACGTGGAAAGAGCTAAGGTTTGAGGAGGCTCCAGGGTGTGTGGCCTTTGGTGGCGGCCACCAGCCAGGACCACAGGAACACTTTCCATCTAACCAACTTCAAAATGACACCCCAAGTCTCCTGGGGCTGCAGGAGGCTGAGGCATTGGTAACTCTGACTTATCAGGAAGATCCCAGCTCCTCCAGGATGTGGGTGCAGAGTGAGCATCGGTGGAGGAGTAAGCCTTCCAGGGGCCTGTGGAGGGGAGCACATTAAAGAGCCGGGGCAGAATGGCAGTATTGGCCTCTTGGTCCAGAGTCCACCATCCAACTGCCTTCTGAGATGCCAAGACCACTGAGGCCTTCTGCTTTTTCTTTCGGATGGTTAGAGACCACCCCCCACCTGCCCCCTGTGAAAAGAGCCCTAGCACTCCTGGAGTCTGGGCCCAGTCTGGTCCCCCACCCCTGCCTTGGGCCTGACCACCCTCACCCCAAAATGTTGTGGAAATCGCCACCTAAGCATGCGCATGTGAGGGAATGGTGAGCAGAGCCCAAGCCTCCAGCACCGCTCGGGGGCTAAGGACTCCCTGGACGAAGACCCCACTTAGTAGGCGTGGACCCTGGGTGTCTCTGGGGCCTTTAGGGGACAGGGGGTCCCCACAGGGTCTCGGCAATCCAGCCCAGTCCTAAGTGGTACCCCCATCTGCCTGCACCAGCCAACACCGCTGGGCTTCCTCACCAGCTGTAGGTACACAAGGGTGGGTGGGCATCTGAGGAGGAGGTGAGGCCTCGCAGCACTTGGGTCAGGCCGGAGCCGCAGGAAGGAATCCTCCACCCATGGTGGTGCTTCCTGCCTCTGGCAGGGCAGGGCACGACCCTCCCCTCCCTCAAATTACTTAGATGCCCACCCTGCCCAGGGCAGGGTCCCTCCTGCTGCCACCTGGATGCCCCACCCCAGGTACTGAAGATTCCTCGTGGGTGAGACCTGTGCAGCCCTTGGCCCCTGACTCCCACCCCCACCCCACCCCCAAACCAAAGAGCCCAGAGTGACCAACAAGGGGAAACAGATAGGGCTGGGATGGCTGGGGTCTCCCCGCCGCCTCTCAGTCTCCCTAAGGCTAGACAGCTGGGTCTTCTTTGAGCTCCAAGACCTGGGAAGACCCTTATGCCCCAACCCAGTGATCTGAGGGAGTACCTCAGGTTTGGCCCTTGCCCCCCCCAGAAGGGGAGGAGCCCCAGGGTCCAGCTGGGAGAGCTGGGGGCAGTCATCCAGGGACACCGTGGTCCTGCAGGAGGCCGGTGGACAGGACAGTCCCCCAGACTCAGAGCCCCTCAGGCATGGTCTTCCGTGGGCGTGGGCCACCCAGAGCTGAGGAGGGACTCCCCACATCACATGGGCGTAGAGGGCAGACTGCTCAGGCACTGGCTTTCCAGTCCCCCCACCTGAGCAGAGCATTCTGGGGCGTGGCTCTGACTGGGGGTGGGGTGGAAGACCCGGAAGTGGGATGGCAGGTGGGCCCGTGTGGGAAACCAACTTGCTGATGATCAGAGGAAGGGTAAAGAAGGCTCACTTCAGGGCCTCGCCTGGGAGGGCCCTGCAGGGGAGGGCCGGGAGCCTCTGAGACCTGAGACCCTTGGCCCCACCTCTGAGGACTCTGGCATCCCCTTAACAGGGGCAGGTTGCCTCCCTACTTCTGAATGCTCAGCCTTCAGAAAGGCTCCATTGGGGTGCCTGGCACTGGGGGGCACCCCAGGCCCTGTGTCTGGACCCCAACTCTAGGTGGCCAGGCTCCGTTGTGCACACAGCCTCAGGGGGCACCTTCAGGTTTGAGTTGAGGTGCCTTCCAGAGGGGATCTGAGCAACCCCCACAGAGCTCCCCCTGGATGCTTCAGTCCCCTTTCCAGGGTCGGGAGCCCTGAGCAGACCAGGGAAGTTGTGAGTGCAATTCCGTGGTGCAGGGGAGACCAGGGGCACCCACCCCAGACCTGGCTCCAATGCCTGGTCCTCCGCAGTGGCCTGGGCCAGCCCCCAAGCCCAACTGCCCTTTTCTGAAAGGGAGGGGGTGGGTGACCTGGAGAGATGCAGCTGTCCCTGGTGAGAGGGTGGTTCCACCAGACTTCTCGGACCTGCTCCCGGCCTTGCCCTCCCTCACAGTCCACCACACTGCTGCCAGTGCCCCCACCTGCCCCGTCCTCCCCTCCGTCTCCTCAATTCCAGTTCCTAGAATTGTTGGAAGTCACAGCTGCAGGTCCCATCAGGCCCTGGAATGTGTTTTGAGGGGCTTCTAGGGCTATCCTCCACCACTCTCCTGCCGGCTGCAGCTCCTGGGGGCCACGCTCCACCGTCCCCAAGAGCATCCCCTGCAGAGGAGATGGGTGTGGAGGAGGTTGCATCACCTGCCTCTGGTCCGCGTCCCATCTCTGTTTTCCGTGTGCACCCAGACAGAGGATGGGAGCAAGGCTCCACCTCTATCTCTGAAAATGATCGTGAAAATCTGGAGAGACTTCCGAGGCCCAGGGAGGGTGGCAGCACAGGCCTCCTGCTCCCACCCAAGGCCAGATCCCAAGCGCTAGGAAGCCTTCCGGGACCTGATGGAACCATGCAGACCCCCCATCCTCGAGCCCTGAGAACCCCTCACTGGACTCCAGGCCACCCAGCTCTGCTGCGACCACTCCATGGACAGGATGGGGGCCAGGACTGGCTGGGCCTGGGGAAGAAAGCTGAGTCATGGGACAGCCATTCCAGCCAAGCCATGGTCCCCTGCCCTGGGGTCCTGGCTCCTTAGGGACCTGGTGGCACGACTGTCACAGCCAGTTCTCACTCTTACTCCACGCCTGCGGCCACACTTTCCCTGACTGCTGGATGGAGAAGCCACCCTTGCAGATGACTGAGGCCAGCGGGTGGTGGGGGGTGGCCGAGGACCCTCCCCCAGCGGGGACAGCCTGGCCCTTGCAATCAGTTCAGGCTCACAGAAAAATAAACATATTAACCCCTCAGTGGCCCAGGCTGTGGGCAGAGGCGGAAACAGGCTGCAGAGGCCAGACTCCTGCCCTGTCGGCCAGCCCAGCCTGACTCACCTGCACTCCCCACCCAGGGCGGGTGTTGGGCATGGGGGTGAGGGTCTGTGGAGGGTTGAGGGGTCTGTGCGGGGCTTGAGGTGTCTGTGGGGGGATGGGGGTTGTCCGTATGGAGTTTGGGGTGTCTGTGGAGGGGTTAGGGTGTCTGTGGGGGAGTGGTCAGTGCCTGTGAGGGTCGGTGCCTGTGGGGGAGTTGGGGTGTCTGTAGGCAGGTTGGGGTGTCTGTGGAGGGATTGGGGTGTCTGTGGGGGAGTTGAGGTGTGGGGTGGGAGCACGTTGGAGTGGCGGCCGGCTCTGGCTTGCCGGCTGGTGAGTGACCCTCTGACAGCCATTGACTTTCCCCTGAGGGGCCAAAAGCAGAAAGCATGGGGCTCTGAGCGGGAGTTGGTGCTGGGGGGCCTGCTGAGCCAGAGCCATGAGGAGACCGAGCGGTACCCGGTGAGCTGGCCAAGGTCCGTCAAGAGGGGGCCGCCCCAGCTCCCCACTCCTCCCCTGACCCTGCAGCAGCCCTGGAGGGAGGGTCCCATCTGGGAGGTGACTAACAGCAGCACAGCATAAGGAGCTGAGTCCAGGGACGGCTGACTTGGGCAACTGAACCCCTCTCCTTGGTGGCCACAGTGACCTCTCACCCATGTCTCTGAGAGACAGAAATGGGACAGGCTTGGTGTCGTTACCAGAACATTCAGAACCCAAGCTCAGTGGGGTCGCCGGGCAGATGTGCCCGAGTCTGGTTGAGGCGGAACGAGGGAACGTGGCAGAGTGGAAAACGGTGTTGGGGGCCAAGTCCAACTTGGGGGTGCCTCTGGACCTGACTCTCCAGTCTGTGAGGTGGGTGCAGTGAAGCCCACCTGACCACTCCCGGGAGGGTTTAAAAGTCCTGCCCTTTTCACCTGTTGGATGCACCCTGCTCTCCTGGCCCACCCGAACACCCCCGTTTTCCTCCCGTCTCCAAGGCATTGCCTCTTCCCGCCCCATCATCAGGCCAACCCTGGGCAAGCCCAGGCCGGGTCTCCCACAGTGGACGACAAGCACGTCAGCCCTCCCACAGTCCCACAGTCCAGGGTCCAGAGGAGACCTGCGCCACGGCGCCTGAGGCCCTGCCTGGCTCTGCATCTCCCTCCTGGCTTCATGAAGCCTGCTCTGGTGCTGCATCAGCCCTGCACCCCGTCCTGCTCCACCCCTGGCCTCCAATGAGGGGCCAGCTCAGAGGAAACTTCTTCGGGAGAGCCCCTGCCAAGAGAGGCAGGACTCACCGCATACCTGAGCTCAGATGTGGGGGCCAGGGCCGGATGTGGGAGGAGGGAGGAGGCCAAGGTCTGGCTGGGTGCAGACCACACAGCTGTGGGAGGTAGAGAGCAGGGGTGCAGGGGAGCAGCAGCCAGGCCACAAGGCTCCTGGGAGTCTTCTGTCCGCCCTCTTCCAGGCCTCCGTGCCTTTGCACATGCTGGGCCCTCTTCCGCCTGAGGCCAGTGAGCCTGTGCTGAGGCTCTGATACTCAAATCATGGGGCCTGGTAAGTGGGGCACGATCCTGGGCAGGCCGGGGTGGGTATGGGCTGTCCCCTAGGCTTGGTACTCAGCCATGGCTTCTCTTTTGCAAGGAGCCTGTCAAAACAAAACGGTGGTGTCAAATGTCCTGCCACCATCCCCCCAATCTGTAGCTGGGGAGCCTTGGCTCTGGGGGAGTCCTAACACGAGGAGATAAAGGTGCCTGGTACCAGGGTCCCCCCTCACCCCCGAGAACTGTGTTCATTCTCCATTGCT